CCTACGTTCAACTCATCTTTCTTCCTCCATTTTATTACCTACACCTAATCTATTCTAAATATTAAAAAAACTATTACTACTCAGTTCAAACTACATCCTATGAAAAAGAACAAAGGCACAAAAAAAACCATGGGGGAATTATTACTACCTAAGAAAAATTAAAAGACATATTTTTGGATTTTTATTTTATCTAGTCTTTTATCACTCAAAAAAGCTGTCAAGGAGATCCATCATCAGAATAAGTCCAATTTTTTTGATTTTTTTTATTTATTTTCCATATTAAAAAATAAATAAGTTAATAAAACTACTACTAAAATACTACACTACTACAAAAACAAAAATAAGAAGCTAAACTCAAAATAATAAATTAACATTTTTTACTAACATACTACTACTAATTATCTAGAGGAATTCTCCCACCCCACACTTAAAAGAGTGCAGTATTCCTAATGCACAAATAAAGTAAAAATAATAAGGGTGGACAAGAAACTCCCTGAAAGGTTAAAGGTCGAAGAAATAGCAGCTCACGGGGTACTTACACTTCTCCCAAGGATAGTCCTTTATGCGGGTACCTCACACTAGCTCCAACCATATGGCTCGCTTTTGCACACTTTCAGTGGCTTTTCTTCTATGCTCATAATCCTACAAAATAAAATAACACTACAAAAATAATAGAAAAATAAAATAAACAAAAAAAAATATAAATAAAAGAAAGTAGTAAAGTTGGATTGCCTCCCAACAAGCGCTTAATTTAACGTCGCGGAACGACATGAAATACTTTTTTCTCCACCTTGAACTTACGAATTATACCCCTAACAGTGCATCCAGTTTGCGGCTATGCTTCTTTGGTGGGGATACAAAGATAACCAGGCCAAGTAATAATTTTTTCACTCTACACTTCTCTGTCTTTAGATGAGGAATGTAATTATTGCTTTTTGGCACAATAAACTCAAGAATATAGGTACTCTTATCCTCATCCTTTGACTTCCCCAAAGGCTCAGATGGCTCTATTACTATCTTACTATCTAAACACAATGTGGAAAATGATTGGAATGAGGCCTAATGCATCCTAACTCATGAAGTTTACTACTATTTACATCCCCATATATACACATACTCAAGTCTCCAAAAGTAATGTTATCTACTCTCTCACATGACTCTGGAGCACTCTTCTCATTATTGGCATCATCTAGAAAAATATGGTCTAATGATTGGTATTCTCGTTTTAGCTCCCTAATTTGGTCTATAAGATTTCTTTTCAGCTTAACACAACTCATCATTAAATTGTTGGGCGTTACACAAATCAACTTTTGCACTCAAATCTGCATCCAAGTTATGCACAGCCAAGCCAAAACTGTCAATTTCATGTGCAAGATCAACTCTCTCCTTAGACCAATCATTCACCAACATTGTTAGAAGACAACGTCGTTCTGCATATTCCCTTAATCGAGAATACCCATCCTAATACTAACCCTTACTCCCATATTCAAATTAATATTTCCATGAAGTCAGGCCACAACAAGCACAAAAATGCGGGCCATAAAAGTCTTCCGTCAACCAAGCGTATTCATCAACAACCTTATCTCCGTATATTTCATCCCCAGATATCATGCTGAGAGAATTAGAAACACACTAAGAGAAAAATTAAATAGTTATAAAAATTAAAATATTTACAAAAAAAAAATTGTAAAGATAAAAGTAAAAGTCTAATTTAGAGAAACAGCAAATTCTATGTCCCTGACAACGTCACAAAACACTTATTGGGGCCGAACGCACACGTAAGTATACGCGGTCGTCAAGTAATAAAGTGACTAAACATCTGATGTCGAACCCACGAGGACTTGTGATTAACTATGAACTAAATTAGACTATCCTAATTATCTAAACAAGAATTAAACCCAAAGTATTTGAATCTAAACTAATTAAACTAAAAAGAAAAACAAATAGTGAACTCTGAACAGAGGAAAATCAAATTTTTATGTTATCAATGCGATGAAAACGATCTAGGGTCATGGGCTATCAAACAATTGTATTGTATTCTTCAATTGAATTGACTAATTAATTTGTCTGGTTTATTGGTTGACGGGGTTAATATGGCTCGTAAGAATCTATCGATCTCTTAATCGCCTATTTAAGCTAACCTAACGCCTATATGTCTATAAAGTCAGAATCAACGAGAATGCATTTATAATTCTCGTATAATAACCAAGAAAGGAAATTAGTATGTATATACTAACCGCGAATCCATTCTCCGATGCCCGGGTTCAAAACATTGCTCTACTAAATCCTATATGCAATCTAGAATTTTCACTTTCGAGTTGAACTCTAGATTCGTAGATAGTATTTAATTGGTGATCGAGCAATAGAATAATTAAGCACATGACTAAATAAATAAACCAATACGATAAACTAAGAAATCAAAATCAATATTCGAATAACAATAGTCATGAAAGAACCACAACCCTAGAATATCACTTAATCATTTTTAGCTGAACATCACTTAATCAAACAATCATGCCACCTCTTTGTCTTCTCCTTAAAAATTCGTGCATTTTCATACGCGTCCAGTCTAAACTCCTCCAATTCATTCATATGCAATAACTTGTGTTCACCTACAAGACAAAGATCAAGATTAAGCAACTTAATTGCCCAAAAAGCTTTATGTTCTATCTCTACATGTAGGTGAAACGATATTCTGTGCACTAACTTGAAGCTGAAGTCCCTGCGGTTCTTTGGAATGCAATTTTATACGCCCAGAGAGCTTTATCCAACTTTACAAACGAATCCTTACGAGAAGCACTAACCATCTTTTCAAGAATTTGTTTAAGCTCACGGTTAGCTGCTTCAACTTTCCCACTAGTTTAGGCATGGTACGGGATTCATATTTTGTGTGTGACTCCATACTTGGACAGAAGCACAGCAAACTGCTTGTTCATTAATAAGACCCATTGTCACTGATGATCACTCGATGTGTCCCAAAGCGGGTAAAGATATTTTCTGTAAGAACTCACACACCATCCGCGCATCATTGGTCTTAGTAGGGATTGCTTAGACCCATTTTGATACATAGTCAATGGCTACTGGGAGATACTCATAAAAATGAGACGATGGGAATGGCCCCATAAAGTCAATGCCCCAAACATCAAAAGTTTCACATACCAGAATTGAGTTTAGAGGCATCTCATCCCTCTTGCTAATATTACCTGCCCTTTGACACTTGTCACATGCAGCTACATACACCCGTGCATCTTTGTTCAAACTAGGCCAATAGAAACCAGCTTCCATGACCTTTGTTGCAGTGCAATTTCTACTATAGTGTCCTACAACTGCTCTATTATGGCAATGACACAAAATGATTGCTATCTCTCCTTCAAGTACATATCTTCGTATCACACCATCTGCACACAATTTAAACAAGAAGGGATCATTCCAAAAATAACTTTTACCTCATCTTGAAGCTTCCTTCTTTGATCACGAGCTTGCGGCAACTATCCACTAGTCAAAAAGTTGGCTATATCAGCATATCAAGGCAATCTTTCAGAGACCGCAGCAATGGAGAAAATCTGCTCATCAAGGAACTCTTTCCTTATTTTCATTGTCTCAACCAGAGGTCTCTCAAGTCGAGATAGATGATCTGCGACTTGATTTTTGTTTCCCTTCCTATCATTGATCTCAAGATAAAATTCTTGGAGCAATAAAACCCACTTCATCATACGCGGCTTGGATTCTTTCTTACTTAACAAATATTTCAAAGCTTAGTGGTCAGTATGCACAATCACCTTAGTGCCCACAAGATATGATCTAAGCAAAGACCACAGCAAAGAACTCTTTCTCAGTAGTAGCATAGTTCACTTGAGCATCGTTCAATAATCTACTTGCATAATAGATAAGCCTAAATATCTTGTCCTACCTTTGACCCAGAACTGCCCCCACAGCTACATCACTAGCAACGCACATTCTTTCGAATGGCTGGCTCCAATGATGTGTCACAATAATTGGGGCACTAATAAGTTTTTCCTTTGTCAATTTGAAAGACCTTAGGCACTCCACAACAAATACAAACTTGACATCCTTCGCTAGCAATGCAGTCAACAGCTTGGTAATGTTGGAGAAGTTTTTGATGAACCTTTTATAAAACCCAGTATGTACTAATAATCTCCTTATGCTCTTCACAGAAGTTGGTGGAGGAAGTCTAGCAATTACAACAACTTTTGCTCGGTCAACTTCAATACCATGTGCAGTCACTTTGTGGCCTAGAATGATTCCCCATTTCACCATGAAGTGGCATTTCTCCAAGTTAAGAACCAGGTGAATGGCTTCGCAACGTTCAAGCACAAGCTCCAAATGTTTCAAACATTCATCAAAATCATCACCAAACAGAGTGAAATAATCCATGAATACCTCTAGACACTTCCCATTTAGATCGGTGAATATGGACATCATGCACCTCTGAAAAGTAGTCGGTGCATTACCCAACCCAAATGGCATCCTCCTGTAAGCAAAAATACCTAAAGGGCAAGTGAAAGTAGTATTGTCAACATCTTCTAGGGCAATGGGTATCTGATTGTAGCCTGAATACCCATCTATGAAACAGTAACAACCATGTCCGGCCACTTTCTCAAGCATCTGATCAATAAAGGGGAGTGGGAAGTGGTCTTTTCTTGTTGTATCATTCAGCCTCCAATAATCAATGCCCATTCCCCACCGTGTGACTATTCTAGTCGGGATCAATTCATTGTCTTCATTCTTCACCACTGTCATGCCCCCTTCATAGGCACAACTTGTACAAGACTGATCCATTGGCTATCAAATATGGGGAAAATCACTCCCGCATCCAACAACTTGATAATTTCCTTGTGTACTACCTCCTCCAGATTTTTATTCAGCTTGCGTTGGGGATGCACCACTGGCTTGCTATTTTCTTCCAGCAAATTTTCGTGCATGCAAATGGATGGACTGCTTCCTTGAATGTCATATATGGTCCAGCTAATGTGCTTCTTTTACTTTCTCAACATCTCCATCATCGTTTGTTCCTGTGCACCTGTCAAGTAAGCAAAAATAATTACAGAAATATTGTTAGTTTCAATAAAAACATATTTCAAGTGAGTAGGGAGAACTTTCAATTCTACACTAGTCTTAGAAGCCTCCTTTTTGAGTTCCTCCTCATCAACAAATTGATCCTCAATCTCAAGAGCTTCAGCCTCCTTCTTTATTTCAGGATCATCGTCCTCCATTGTGCTAGACTGAGTAATACACCTCTGAAGACTATTCCCCACAAGCTTGTCAAACTTATAATTTTCAGCCAACTAACCAAAACATCAAGCTTGAAACACGAGTAAGTAGATGCCTCATAACTTGGGTATTTCATCATTTTGTTCATCTACAATACCACTTTGTCGTTCCCCACTCTAAGCATAAGTTGCCCCTCGTAGATATCAAGGATTACTCTGCCTGTAAATAGAAAAGGCCTCCCTAGAATTAGAAGAACCTCCTTGTTCACTTCCATATCTACCATAATAAAATCTACATGGAACACAAACTTGTCCACCCGTACTAGAATATCCTCGATAATTCTTTCAGGCAACATGGTGGTCTGCTCAGCCATTTGTAGGGACACTGGTATTGATTTGATCATTCCAAGCTCACCTTCCAGTTTCTTGAACACAAACAAAGGCATTGTATTTATAGAAGCACCAGAATCACAGAGGTCCTTGTCGAATTTCTCACTCCCCAACAAGCAGGGTATGGTGAAACTTCCTGGGTCCCCACACATTTGAGGAATTTCATTTAGTAATATGGCACTGCAGAGACCATTGTTGTCTCCTCTAATTTCCTCTTGTTGGACAAGATTTCCTTCAAGAACTTAGCATAATAAGGCATATGAGTGAGCACATATGTGAAGGAAATATGCACGTAAAGTTGCTTGAGTATCTCCAACAACCGCCCAAAGCACTTGTCTAATTTTTCCTGCTTCATCATTTTAGGGAATGGCAGAGCAGGCATGTGTCTGTGCTCTTCAATATCCTTTTGTACCCCCACTACTCTGACCTTTCTGTTATTCACTCTTTTGCTCCTCCACTATGTCAGTTTGCTTGCTTACCACTTCGAATTTAGTTTTCACAACTAGTTCAGCCAATGTTTTGTCGCTTCTCAAATATACAACTTTGATTGTTTTCTTTAGGTACTTTTTTGTGTTAAAGGGTAGAGTCCCATGAGCCCTCTCAGAAAATAAGTTTGTAATTTTCCCCATCTATCTTTCTAAATTCCAGATGGTTGTGCCTTGTTCCCGGATGGCAGTGCTCTAAGTCACAAATTTCTCGTCTGATTTATTTATTGACGCCTTTATGAGATCTTTCATACTAGATTGATTTCACGATTGTGGCTGGTATTGCTGGTACTGATGCCTCGGTTGGTTCTAAAAACCTGGAGGTCCTTAACCATGTGTTCTAGGATTATTTTACTGCCACAAGTTCAAACTCCCACTACGTAAACTCCAAGAGAAACCTGGATGTCTTTGTCCCATAGAATTTTAGTTGTTTGCACCTTGGTAGTATCCTCTATTATAGTTCCCCACATCGTTAACTTCCGAAGATGAATCTTAATACTCATTTGTCGGGTGTCCCATTCAACAAAAGTAACATCCTGCTTGCGGTTCACTCTGTACCTTGGCTAAGGTCAATTTTCTTATCTCTTTTGCCATGATGTCTAGTTAGGCTTGCATTGATGTGCTAGATTCCACCTGGTGAACCCTAATAGATTTTCTTCTATCATTACCCTCAGCAGGCCATTGGTTAGCATCCTCAGATAATTCATCAAGGATTGAGACAATGTCCTTTGGATTTTTCTTCATTACTGGACCTCCAACTGCATTACTCTAAGTTCGTCGTGAGGAAGGTATAAGTCCATCCCAAAAGTCCTGGAGTTACATCCACAACTCGATTCCATTATGCTGACATCTTCTCGCTATCTCCTTGAATCTTTCCCAAGCTTCGATGATCGTTTATGTATCCTTTTGGCAGAAGTTGTGTATTTCCCGTCTGAATTTTCCTGTTTTTGCATATGAGAAGTACTTGTCAAGAAACGTTTTCTTCATTTCTTCCCATGTTCTGATTGACCTAGTTAGTAAGCTTCGAAGTTAGTGCTTCGGGTCCTTAAGTAAAAAGGGGAATGCCCTTAAGCAGACTGCATCTTTGGACATTCCATCGTACTGGAAGGTGTTCATTATTTCCTTAGAGTCGATCAACTGAGTTTTAGGATCTTCAATCACCTTCCCTCTAAATACACAATTGTTCTAGATGGTTTGAATCAAACCTTGATTCAACTCAAAGTTGTTTGCTGCTATGGGTGGAGGTCTGACACTTGACAGTCTCTGATTGTCGACTGTTCTGGCATAGTCACCTAGTGATCTCCCAGGCCTAGGTTCCGCATTTTCAAACTGGTCTTCAACCAGAGTCGATTTAGATTGAATCTTCGACCCCCATCCTCTTCGACAGTCTCATCAGCAGCTCTAAAGGTTGCTTCAGCTGCTAACCGTGCAACTTGTTTTCTCTGTTGTTCTGCCTCTCTTGCAGCTAACTCTACTCCAGCATAATCGTTCTTTTCCATGTGTTTTTGGGATGAAGGTTGCCCCAAAAATATTTCGGTGAATCCTCTTTCTTTTCTCAGTTGTCGCAGGTATTTCTCCAACTCTGATTCAGAGGGTAACACTTCCTTTGAAGAAGATCGAGTCATATACCAGTTAAATTCGTATCCTACACACAAGTGAGAAAATGTGAATACAACAAAGTAAATATGGTTCCTAAATTAGTACCAAAAGTTATTTTGAACACTATTAATTGCCAATCCCCGGCAACAGCGCCAAAATTTGACGAGCGCAAAATACAACAAAATATTTTTGCTCGCTAGTCAAAGATAGTATAGTTAATTTATTGTCTCCGTAGGGATTAGATTTAAACAGCGTTCGAATAATCTTTAGTTAATTACTATCCAAAAAAATTAACACTTGATTAAATGATTATCAACTACGATTAACTACTAAAAATTAAGCACTTATCAATTGATCACGAAAGACAACAGTTGAGCAACAAAGAAATATCAATGAGAGAAATAAGGGTAATTGACTAGACAAGTGCAAGAGAATTGACTTGGGATCTAATTCTTGGAGTAATTCACTCTATAATACTATTGATTCTTATGAATACATCACATAATTAGATTATACTTGAAGTTAAGGTTCCTCTTTCGATTAAATGTTAATTTTAGTAAATAATCCAATTGAAGCATGGTGAACAATTGCAACGAATAAAATGGTGGTTTTAGTCTAAAGGATAGTTTCTCAGGAATATTTTCCTATTTTCTAATTCGATTGATAATTCAACTGGCTCTTTCGATTACCTAGTTGAATCACGAATTTAAACTAGAGAATAAGATATAAATAAATTCAATATAAAGCTCCTCTTTCGATTAAGCTAAATAATAAACATCTTCACATTATGATTTAAAGATCCAACAATTAATTCAAGCAATAGTCAAGAATCGAATCCCTAATCAAGTTATCAATACATTATATTTGTCAACACCCTAAGGGAAATTACTCCATAGAAATGGAAAAATTCATCTCAATAAGGTTTAAAGATATAGAAAACAGCAATGCTAATGATTCGATACAAACTCCCGTATTACACCCATTATTGGTTGAAGTCTTGATGAATTCTTATGTCCCCTTGACTTAGTTGCTTCTCAAATCTTTCGTATGTCAAAAGTTCCTTCAAAAATATATTATTGGTGTATTTATACCATGTAGAAATGGGTCCGGATGGAACTACCCTTTACGAGCCGAAACAAAAAATAACTTTAAGAAAATTGAACAAGCGCGTTGCGCCTCGTGTCGCACCCTACGGCGTGCCTGTGGGGATTTACAGAGAGCATTTTCTAACAGACTTTTCCCAGTTGCACTGTCACGCCGCACCATGTGGCGCCCCATGCGGTGCGGTACTTCTTTTTCTTAAAGTGTTCATTTTTTCTCAATTTGTTTATCCACACTTGTTCATCGACCCCCGAACACGATCCCGATTTAACTCCTTGAAATTTTACTCGCATTTCAAAGCTCCAATGTATTTGATACAGCTATCAATTAAATTTTAACTCAGGATCAATTCCTGCAAGGCATAAAATATGTAATAAGCACAGATCACCATCATTCAAGCTCAAACACAAGTAAAATATAGTAATTAGAATGCAAAATATGACTAAAACACAACTTTCTAGCCTACCATAAGTTATTCTAGCTCGGTAGGTTCGAAAGTTGAGATCTAAGAGTTTTTCTTCGTTAATGTGCAATGGAGAGGTCAGCCAATCAAGGTAGCTACGTAGGAGTCCGAGTTCGATATGCGAAGTACATGCCCATACCGTTTTGCCAGTCCAGGTACTTTTCTATGTTCGTTCGACGACAAACATTTAATTTAGAGGTGGAGAATATGACGACCTGATAGGTCATTTTGAGTACAGCCTTTATTTCCGTGTTCCGAGATCTCCATTACATTCATTTGATATTTCTTGATTTTCATGCAAGGTCCGTGGCATTTTTGGGAAAATGGTTACCCAAAAAGTTAAAGAAAAAGTTATTTTAGGCTTAAAATGGAACTTGAGTTATCCATGGTCAACATTCTTGGTAAACGACCTCGGATCGGTGTTTTAAAGATTCCAGTAGGTTTGTATGATATTTTTGTACTTTTACACATATTTGGTTGGGGTCTGTGGTGACGCGAGCGAGTTTCGGCGCATTTTGTGAAAGATTGTGAAAAATGCGTTTTCAAGTTGAAATCTTGAGTTTTGATTATCAATTCTTGTTATTTGATATTATTTTAATGATTTGAGGTAGAGAGAAAGTTTATATCATGTTATTACACTTTTGTTCATGTTTGGTTTAAAGTCCGAGGAGCTCGGGTGAGTTTCGAATATGTTACGGATGAGTTTGGGTGGTTTGAGGACTACTGGTGTCTTTCCAGTTCCGGTGTCTGTTGCATATCCTGCAGTTGCGAGGTACGGTTCGCAATTGTGAGCCTTGCTTTTATGAACAAGTGTTCGCATTTGCGATGTTGGGCTGGTGGACTGGAACTTCGCTTTTGCGAAGAAAAGTTCGCATCTACGAGCTAAGCTGAGACTGCATTTGCGATCTCAAAGTCGCATTTGCAACGCAGTGTCCTAGGGGGTGAGCTACACATTTGCGAAGTGGTTGTTCGCATTTGCAAAGTGGTTGTTCGCATTTGCGAAGGGGAAAAGTTCACATTTGCGAACAAAATGTCACATTTGCGACTTATCTATGCCCGATCAGCGTGTCGCATTTGCAGGGACCGCATTTGTGAACAAGAGTTCGCAAATGCGACACCTGCAGCTGGGTAAAAGATGAAAAAAATGGGACTTAGCTCATCTTACATCATTTCTCAATCCTAAACTCTCTAGAGGCGATTTTTGAAGCACTTTTTCTTCCCATATTCATCGTTAAGCAACTCTAATCCACTTTTTTCAATTCTCCATTACTTTTCATGAGTTTTTAACATCAAATCTAGGATTTCCATGGTAGAAATTAAAATTTGGATAGAAATTGGGAATTATGTAAAATTTAGATTCAGACCTCAAATTGAAGTCAGATTGTGAAATAAATTAATAATCAAGCACGGGGATGAATAGGTAATCGGGTTTTGGTCTATATCTTGGGATTTGACCAAGCGGGCCCGGGGTGATCTTTTATTGACTTTTTTCAATTTCATTAAAGATAGAATCTTTTCACTCGTGGTTAGTTTCTAAAGCTTATTTTGATTTATTTTGCTAGATTTGATTGATTTGGAGGCTAATTCTAAAGGAAAGGTTATGGTTAAGCACTGATTGGGTTGCGAAAAGAGGTAAGTGTTATGATTAACCTTGACTTTAGGGAATTAGGACTTGATTGGATTATTTGCTACTTGATTTATGTGTAGGGACGTTGTATATGCAAGGTGACGAGTGTATATGCGTAGTCACAGGTTAAACATGCGGGTTGAGATATTTATTTATCATTTTCATTTATTTCATGCATTCATTTAATCCATGTTATTAATTATTAAATGCTTTTATTGTTAATTGTATTTACTTGTTAAATTCATGCCTTATCTGTTACATGCCTTAATTGCTAATCATTTTCATGTATCTGTGTCTTAATTTATTAACTGTCATTACTCCCTATTTGACCTTGAGTGTTGTTAGATAACTACTTTTACCCGCTTTGTGACCTTAATTGAGTAATTCTTTATTGTGCTTCATTTGGATTACGTCGTAGTTGGTTGTAGATATTCATTTATATTATTATTGCGTGAGATAGATTACGCTCTACAACGGTTATTGGTATTTTTGAGTAGGGTCGGGTTGCATGCCGCAACAAATGTTGGTACCATAGTTTCAGATCGGGTTTCACGCCGCAACAATATCTGTATATTTATATTTTATATCGGGTTACGTGGCACAACGAAGAAGAAATTA